TTACACAGTGGGGCATGGACCTTTTGGGCCCCTTCCCCAAAGCTCCCGGGCAGTTCAAGTATTTGATTGTGGCGGTTGATTACTTCACCAAATGGATCGAAGCGGAGCCCCTAGCATCGATCACCGAGTCACAGGTACGGAAGTTCACAAGGAAGAACATTTTCACGAGGTTCGGACTCCCAGAGTCCATCATCACTGACCATGGGAAACAATTTGATTGCAAAAAGTTTATCGAGTTTTGTGGTGAGAATGGAGTGGTCTTGAGGTTCTCTTCCGTAGCCTACCCACAAGCCAATGGGCAGGCGGAGGCGGCCAACAAAAGTATTCTACATGGGTTGCACACCAGGTTAACGGAGGCCAAAGGCAAATGGGTTGAGGAATTGCCAAGCGTGTTGTGGGCGCATAGGACTACATTTAAAGTGGCTACGGGCGAGACACCCTTTGCTCTGACGTACGGAAGTGAAGCGGTTTTGCCTGTAGAGATGCGAGTCCCGACCTTCAGGATGACCCACCGGGATGAGTGGATGGGCGCCCAAGCGCGTGTCGATGAATTGGATGTATTGGATGAGCGTCGAGAAGTGGCGGCTTTACGATTGGAGGCAATGAAAGGTCAGGTTGCGAGGTACTACAACAAAAAGATGCGGGCACACAACATTACGGAAGGCACCTTGGTACTAAAAAGAGACTTTCGCCCCAGTGCCGTGGAGGGAAAATTGGCACCCAAATGGAAAGGGCCATATCGTGTTCGGGAAGTCGTTGGCCCGGGTACTTTCAAGCTGAAGCACATGTCAGGCAAGGGAGTGAAGAGAACTTGGAATGCTCAAAACCTACGAAGGTATGAGGCAACCATGGATACAGGCGCCCAAGTGCAGGCGCCTTCTCGCGAGTAGAGGCAACGGGCAGGGTGTTCTTGGGGAGGACTTGTTTTGGTTAGGTAATTATAGTAGAGTTTCCAAAAGCGCCCAATACGCGCCCGTAATTTTGTAAAGCGCCCCATTAGCGCCCGGTCCATGTAAAGCGCCCAAATTTTGCGCCATCATTTTTCAGAAGCGGATTAATTACTATCTACAAAGTTGTCCGTTAAGGAAACATAACAAAGCGCCCCAAAATAGCGCCCGGCAACACTACGTATAGTAAAGCGCCATGTTCCGCGCCCACCTTTTGCAAAAGCGCCCTAACATTGCGCCCTCACAAGAAACGCGCCCCATTTCGCGCCCAAAAACTTGGCAATAAAAGGAAAGTTAAAGTGGAAGTGAAGGCGATTGGCAAGGAAACATAAATTCTCATATTATAAAAGCACAACAAATAAGAAAGTCACTACAAAAAGGAAAGTTAAAACCCGAGGACCACTAATCTAGTCAGCGCCCGAATTCGCGTCCCCAGCACTAGGCGCCTTTGGAGAAGGAGAGGTAGGAGCAGATGGCTCGGGCGCCCCACTTGTCCCGCGAGGCGTCTCCATCCCGCCAATCACATACTCAGCCATCTCTGAGAGATCCCAAGTAAGGTCGGGGTGGTCCTTCTGCAACTTCACTCGCAGGATTTCAATGCCGGTCAGAATGGCATTGGCGCACATGGACTTCCCAGTCTCTGACTCCATCAAGTTGTCCAAAGATTGCCGCAATCCGGAAATTTCTTTCCGGGCCCTCTTCAAGGATTTCTCGCTCTCCTTGTGGGCGTCATGCAGCCTCCTCTTCTCCTCCTTGAGGATGTCAATCTCACTGGCCTGGGCACCGGCTTCCTGCGCCAACGCCTCCTTCTCAGCTTGCAGGTCGGCCACCTTCCTGCGCTCCTCGTCCAGGGCGCCCTGCAGACGCGACACCTCCATGGTCGCCGTCATCTGGGCGTCCTCGCACTCTTTCGCAAACTGCTCACGGCGTGCAATTGCGTTATCCAAGTCCAACTTCAGCTGTGCAGCTGAAGAGGAAGCCTCGAGCGCCTCCCGTTTAGTCTCGTTGAGGCGTCGGGCGCCTCTTTCAGCAAAAAGAAGGATCTGCAACCATTAGAAAAAGTTCAGCAACTCGTGCAAAATACCAAACCATTCCCCTAACTTCTGAAGAACGCAAGTAAGAAAGTGCATACCTTGGCGCCCACTTGGGCCAACTCAGCAAAGAGGTGATCCCCGTTCACCTCAGACGGCACCTGCCATGACTTGGCGGCCGCGATCGCCAAGCCCATGGCGCACCCTCGGTCAACAGCGACCAAGGGGAAGCAGTTCATATTGACCCGTCCCACCTCGGCATGCCGTGGCCGGAAGATGGGTGGACGCCCATCGGGGCCAACATAGCGCCCCTCTTCATTTAGGTGAAGACGGGCGCCCTCCACCGCCTCCTCCTCCACTTCCACCTCGTCGCAGGCGTCCTCCTCCCCCACCTTCTTCTTTCCCCTGTCGGCCCTCTTGCTGGCCGAGGCTAAGGGGGAACCCGCCCTCTTCCCCTTTCGGAGCAAAGGCTCCTCTTCTTCTTCTTCTTCCGCGGAGTTGACTTCCTTCTCCGCGGGGTCGAAATTAGGCGCCCCCTCGCCTTCCTCCGGTGCGGACGACGCCACGCTCGCCGTGTGCGCCCGAGCGGTGCCACCCTTCACCGCCCTCTTCTTCTTTTTCTTGGGGCCAGCCGTTGGCGCCCGGGATTGGGTGGCAGGCGCCTCTTGTTGGGTGGGCGCCTCTTGATGAGCAGGCGCCTCTTGTGATGAAGCCGCTGCCGCGGCCGCCTCCGCCGCCATAGTCGCCAGCCGACTCTTCATCAGCTTGGCGATACTCGAGTAATCCGCCCCTGCGCATGACGAGGAAAGGTTAGGCCATAACACAAACAATGGAATAAGAGGAAACAAAACACCTAGACGCCTACACACCATCGTTATAGTAAGCCTGAATAATAGGCGGACGGTTATCTGCGGGGCGTAAGTCAACGGGCTCCCCTTCGCAAATTAAGGGGGCGCCGGCCTTCTCAGACGCCGTCAAAACCACCGGTTTGTTAAAATCCTCGACCTGACCCAACTCCCATTTCCTCACAAAGGCGCCTCCACTCGCAAAGAAGGAGTCTCGATAGGCCTTCACGAAGAAAAACCCGTTGAACCAGCTTCGGTTCAACTTGGGACATTTCTTCACAAAATGATAGGGACAGCTTTTCTTCTTGCGTTTCTGGAGGGACAAACAGTTGTCGAGAGGCACCATCTTGAAGAAATATCTGAACAAGTTGAAGGTGGGCTCCACGTTGTGCTCTCGGCATCTCAATTTGAACAGGATGACGACCGTGATGACCGAGGGAGATAGGCGCCCGAGGGGGCAGGCGCAGGTCGTCAGGATCCCCTCCATAATCGAGTCTAAGGGAAATTGTAGCCCGAAGCGGAAGTATTCCTGATAAATCCCGATCCACTTCGGGCCACAGACGCCTACCCGGGACAGAGGCGATGGAGGCGCATACCACCAGTCTCTGGGAAGCTGGAGACTGGTCACCAATTCATGAACCCGGTCCAAAGTGACTGTTGACGTGTGCTTTGGCCCGGCCACCTCGAACGATAAGTGAGACGTCTCGGTGGGCAGATGATCGGGTGGGAAACACTTCTCCCACGAAGTGATCTTGTAGGACCCGTCGGCGGGCAAAAAGCCAGGCGCCGAAGAACTTGACGGCCCAGCTGATGAGGAAGCAGACGCCCGCTCTAAACCAACAAACGACCCAGACGCAACGCGGACAAGGGGTAAGTGACGCCCCTACCCTAGGTGACTAGAATAAACTCAACGAAATCGACGAAGGGAAAAGGACCACTTACCACGTTGAACTGGGCGCCTTGTTTCACCATCATCGCCAGAGGCGCCTGCGCCCGAGGCGCCTGCGCCAGAGGTCTTGTCTTGTTGTGGAGAAGACATTCTGGACGAAAGCGTTGTGTCGGAAGTGAAGAACTGACAGGAAAGAGGACAGAGGCCAGAGCGGAAGCTAGAGAGAAGTCAGAGCAAAAATCTAGAGAGAGGTCAAATGGAAGAAAGTGACAGCATCACAAGGGAGGAGGGGTATTTATAGAAAAAAGAAGACTCACCCATCGCATGACACGTGTCAGTCATGCCGAAGGAACCCTTCCGCTCCCCCCACCTTTTGGTCTTTTCGCGAGCCACAAGACCCCAGGCGGACCCTTGAGCTTCCCCCCACCCTTTCCTTATTGGGGAAATTTCTCAACTCCCAAATTTCGAATTTCGAATTTCGAATTTCTCAAATTTCGAATTTCGAATTTTCTTTTCTCCAAATTTCCCCGGCAAGCAAAGCGTGGGTGAGGGGGGCATAAGGGATAAGGACACACGTCAAGAACGACACCATGAGAGGACGCCTATAAAAAAGATCGCGAAAAAGAGAACACGCGAAGCGGTGATCCCAGGCGAAGAAACACGCGAAGCGGTGAGCCCAGGCGAAGATCCAACGCCCGAAAGGGAGGGATGGTTCGAAAAATAATAGGTTAGTGTTTGTGCCACGTTCCTTTAGTCCCACCTCACTTGATCTCGACCCTTTCGTACTCACTCGGGGCGCCCGGATCCTGCAAGGACAAGCGCCTAAAGGGCTTGGGAATGCCCGTTAGCACTCCGACGCCCAAGTCAGAACCAAGTCTAGAGAGAGAAGTATAAAGTCGGGTTTTAGTCTGAGCAGCCAACCTGCATAAATGCTATCGACTACCCCTATTTATACTCACCGAACCCGAGGTTGATCTCCGCCACGTCACCATCCTCATTTAATGCTCTGTGCCCCTCTGTGAGACAGCTAACCGCCCTGTCAGGCTCCTGACACCTGACAGGCATCCCACAGCTCTGCCAGGCTCCTGACACATGACAGGCGCCCGCAGGCAGTGGTCCGCCAGCCAATTGACCGCCACCTGGCTTTTGGTGCTTCATTCTTAAGATCTCTTCTCTTGTTTGGGCCCAAGGGCCACTAGTGGATATTGACTCTTATCTTTTGGGCCTTTCCCCCCAACTCTTTCTTTGGGAGCCCAAACTCCTAGCTTGCTGGGTAATACCCCCAACAGTTAGTAAAAAATGATACAGTCTGCTAGTTTATCCCTTTGAATGGCGGCATGCACACACGAATAACGAAACAACTAAATTACAAGAAATTCAAGTGACGCAGATGCTTTGGATTTGTACTTCAACGCAAGCTTCCTGGCTTTCTTGGCTTGTTTCTTGCTGCAATTGTTCTTTAACTCGCCCCTAAAGGGAGTGGTCAAACCTCTATCAATCACCATCCTCTCCAACCCCACGAAATGCTCCAACACATAATCAACAAATTCGCAGTCGACATGATAGCCTGAAAACCCAACAACCTCTACCACTTTGATGCCTTCGCAATGTGCTATCCCACCTTGCTGATCGTACAGACCTGAGTGGTTGCTGGAATCGCGTGAATAGAGCAGCAGCTAGCCAGAAGAAAAAAGAGAAACATTACAACTTAAACCAAACCAGAACAGAACAAGTAACTTGGTTTGCTTTTAAGGTTCCACAGTACATTACCTTCACCGTCAGTTTCTGCAAACTAGGGCATGCGTTGATCACAGGAATCAAGCCAAGTATACTATCACAGCTTAATGCATCAGTTCTTAGTGTCAGCGACTTAAGGCGAGGGAGTTCAGGCACATCCAGAAACTTGATAGCACGCTAAAACAACAAATGCACAACTTAGAAATGGAAGAGTTGGATCATGCGCATATATTATGAAGAAACAATACATAAAGTCAGTCCAGTTGATCTTCTACTTACCTGGCTCGTCTCCAGCGTCAGGGACTCCAATTGACCGGCATAGCTAGAAAGGAATGGAATTTTGGAAGGATGCCAGTCGTCGAAAAAAATGGTCACATCCACGAGACGGGGACAATTGTCAACACGCAATTCCGCAACCCTGCCTTCATGAATCAAGTGTGAGAGATGGGGAGCGTGTTCAATCTCTACCGACCTTAGAAAGAGACAGCCTTTCACTTCCAAATGCTTTAACGGAAGTGGAGATGTTGATGAACCCACGACCTTGAGCGCCTTTAGCAATCTTGACTGTTCCACATCCAACACTTCAAGGAAGGGACAATTAGAGATGAAGTGTTGGAGCACCTCGCCCTTGACAGCAACATAACTCAAACGTAAGGATCTTAGAGACTTAATATTGGACAACCCTGTTGGAGTTTTGATGTGATTGAAGCAACCTTGCGAGAAGGGATAAGAATCATAATCCCACTCTCCCCACAAACGCATCATATTCAAGGACAGCTCAAGATGCTCAACTTCCCTCGATATTGCAAACTCCAGCCATCGATCAATATCCCCTTCAGAATTGCACCTTTTGTTCAAGGTGAAACATATTCGGAACTTGCTCAATTTCGAGCCACGATGGTTCTGCTGCTGCAGCTGCGTCAAAACCCCATTCACCCAATCAATGAACCAACGCCTGTGCTCCTTCTGCCACCTTCGAATTTGTTTTTTGGGAGCCGCGTGTCTGTCCAGAATTTGATTCAACTTCGTCAAGTGCTCAAAGTCCATAACTGTTACCGCGGATTTCCACAAATCTTTCCACCTATTTGAGAGGACTGAAGTTCTAGCTGCCTCCTTGAGGGTCAAGGAGGATAGAACGTTGACGAGGATTTCGTCAGGGAATCCATTAATACGGTCCAAACTACAACTATTACTATCACCTCCTTCCCATAGTTCTTCCTACAGATGAAGAAACAACCCCGTAAATCGAAGTTCTGATAGTTTTGGGGCTAAGTAAAACGGGAACCAGAAACTAAAGCTCAAGACCAGAAGAAACTTACTTTCTCGTGTCCAGTTAAAACAGAGCCTTCAGCGGCGACGGTTGCAGGGTCAGCTCCTTTATTTTCTTCTCCCTGAAGAGATATGCCAGAGGTTAAGTGGGGGAAGAAAGAAACCAGTAAAGCATGCAACTTTTGTTTGAGAGAAACCATATCGACGACAAAACTCACCCTCTGATCTGCAAAACTAGAACTGGACGACATAGTTATAAGGTGGGCGCCTGGCTGGATCTGTCTTTTCTTCTCTGCTGTCTCCGCTGCAAAACGATGACTGATAGCATAAGTATCTTCCTCTATATCCTAGGAAAGATGGATTCAGATTGCAGAGTTTTCATTCCTGGAAACTTGTTCGTATCTCTTCAAATATTAGGGAGATCTCCACCTTAATCGCCTCTTATTTACTTAACTCAAGGCGCCTTTATCTGGGTGGGTCTGGGAAGAACACCGATAAGAAAAAACAGAGTAGTACGGATCCGAGAGCCAAAGCGAGAACTCAAAAAGAGTTCAGATGCGGGGAAGCGGCAGAGACGTCTAAGAGATTAGGATCTCAGATCAATATACATATAAGAACTCGGCGAACTCTGCAGCAAAGTCGCCTTTTTTATGCTGGGGAAGGCTTGACAACAGCAAAGGAGTAGTTGGATCTCGAAGCCAAAGAGTTCAGAGCTTTTACAGATGCAGGGCAGCGGCAGAGGCACTCAGACGGTTAGAATTATATATAGATCCCTAATCCTAATCCGCTCAGAACAAGGCGACTTCCACAGTTCCACTCGTGTGCCTGACCGGGCCCGTATTGAGAATTTGGGTCTTAATGGAAAATTTTCGCTATTAATCTTATATTATGCAAGCCTTTCAAACAAGTCCTTCAACTAAAAGAACTTACGATTTACCTGGAAACTTGTTTCCTTCTTAGTCAAAAGGGTTTTAAAGACCTTGACCGGTTTGGTGCATTAGTTGATTTAGGGAACCAACGGGTGAAATAGTTCGGGTACCACTTAAATTTGAGAATTGGGGTAGATATAACACTTAAGTTTGAATAGGGCGTCGGGTATCATTAAAGTCGACAATATGTGCATTTGTCTACTTTTCCATCCAACCCAAAATTTTAATTACTTTTTGGTACCCAAAAATTTTAAAAACATTCAAAACTATATTTCAACAAGTTTATCTAATATAAAAATTAGAAAACCTTCTAAACATATTATTACTAAAATGGCTAATCAAATTTTTTTCATAAAATAGATAAATTAGAAAAAATAATAAATGAATATTAAACAAATAATTAGTAGACTAGAATATAATAATTAATATTTAAAATTAATATTAGAATATCTAATTAAACATCCTAATTCAATTAGAAGCACCACTAGAAATAGTTCAAATAAAACCTAATCGATCATCAATACATCAAAATCAAAGAAAGATAAATGGAACACAATCATAAAGAATAAAACATATTCATTAATTGAAAAATATTTAGAATAAAAAGAGATGGAAAGTAACCAAGTAATAAATAAAATATAAAAGCTACAACATTCAGTAAAAAATGTAGAAAATAAAATATGATTATAGAAAGAGAATTAGAATTACTAAACTTAATTTATATGAAACATCTACATATAATATTAAAGAATTAAAAGGATATTTAACATGGAAAATTAGACAACATCACCATGATGTAAGAGAACTAAATATAACATTCTCAAATTATTAATATCGAGATAGAATTTATAAGATATATTTGCTTCAGAAAATTATTCAATTATAAGAAAACATAATAATAATTGAAAATAATATAATGATAATTGATTCAAAATTTTCTATTGAAAAATTGACTTGCTATCAATTATTCAAAAGAGGATTCCAATTAAACAATAACAAATTATGTTTTCCACAAGTCCAAATGGTTTTCTTACAATAACAAAAAATAGAAGGACCAATTATGAAATTTAGAAAACGGAATATTCTAAGAATATTCTGTCAACTTTGACGCAATGCACATGATAGTAAACTTAAGTGGTACCGAGTGCACATATAATAGAGTTTAGTGGTACCCGACACCCTATTCAAACTTAAGTGGTATGTCTACCCCAATTCTCAAACTTAAGTGGTAACTGAGGTATTTTACCCGGGAACCAACTATTACATCCAAGTACAACACTCGAACTATGAGCAAAATGTCACTTGTGTTCTATTCTTTTCAATATTTCATTTGTATCCTAAACTATTATTCTGTTAGTGTTGACCGGTGTTGACTGTTAGTTTTTTTAACAGAAAGTCCAATCAGCATCTAAGTGGCATTTGACGTGGAATTTAAATATTAATTTTAATTATTTTTTATATAAATAAATAAACTAAAAAGGAAAATTACAAATTACAAAAATCTAAAATAAAAACAGATTCGTAAATCTCCACCCATATCTCCTCACACCTTCTTCCTCTTCTCTCCTCCTGAATTCCATCCGCCACCCAGATCCAATTTTGTTAATAATCCCTCCACCCTCCATCAATCCCCATTCCTCCGCTAGCCCCACTTCCTATCCCTTTCTTCCCCTGGTGCAAACCCCTAAATCGACAAGGGATTTCAATCGCCAACCCCACTGGAGTTGGAGACAACGACCGAACAGAGAGCTAAAGAAGCTCCCAACCTTCTTCAAATTTCCAAGTTCTTCTCAGATCCGTTTGGTCAAGTCGCTGAATCGAATCTCGTTTACCCATTCGGTCTGATTCTGCCGACTCCGTTTTCTTTGACGAGAATGGAATCCCACAGAGCTTCTCGACGCCAGTGGCGGTGATGAATCCGATTGTTGATGAAATTCTTCAACGAGGATGGAGACGAGTGAACCCAGCTCTTTCGTCATAGATTGCATGATTCGTAGATGCTGGCAGGCGGGGAGATCAATTCAATCTGAAATCGCCGAATATTTCCAGCAAGCCTTTCCGACGGCGTGTGGGTAGGACGATGATGGGGGATGATTATGACGATGGTGGGGTGCGATTGGCGCCGAACGCGTTCCTGACGAAGCAAATGGCGAGGCAGAAGGGGAAAAAAATTAGAGCGAGAGAGGCAAATCGGTAGAGAATAATATATATATTTTTAATTTTGGGGTTTTAGAATATTATTTAGTAATATTCTTGAATTAAAGTTTTTTCAATTTTTTATTTTCAAAGTTTTATTTAATTTAAATTAAAAATGTGAGGTGTCAATGACTTGGCATTGCCACGTAAGCAAAAATCAATGTTAAGTTGACCACCCTTTGGTCAACTATTATCTTTAACGGTCAACGGAATTGGCAGGATACAAATGACACAAAATATAATAGTTCATGACATGAATGAAATATTTGACACAATAGGACACAAGTAGCATTTTTTCGATAGTTCGGGCGTTGTAGTGGTATTAGCCCCAACAACTTATTTACGATTTGGTAGTGGCTTGGACTAGTAGCACGATTTTATGGTGTACCTTGGTTGGTGTGATCTATAAGGAGATGGCCCTTCATGTCGACTTTGCCTTAAAGGCAATATTTAATCTCTTATGATAGAGATTTCTAGCACCATAGCCGTGCATTTCTGGTTGATCATTGCAGGTGCGCGTATGGTATGAAAAGTGATTGAAGGAAGTGACATAAGTTTTATTGACCGATCAGGTGATAGTTCGATTTTATTCGCCTTTACAAATTTCTGAGAGTAATTAAGAATGCTCTGTGGAAGATCGCTAACGCCGCTTTCTTTTCTTTGTTGTGGCTTTTTATGGCAACTCTATGGGCATCCGGTATACTCTGTCGAAGGAAACTACACTCGCTGGCGGGACTATCTTGGTGTTGTTGGATTTTTGTTTCTGTTTTTTCCGTCAGTGTCGTGTCTTTGCTCCTCGGAGCTTCTTCAGAGCTGCCCAAGTAGTGGCTTTAGATGCTCTTTCATCGTAGTTTGGTTGCATACAGACTATCGTACATTGTCTGAGTCAGTCTTGTAATAGTGTCGAGTCTTTACCCCATGCCCTCTGGGCTTGCCTTGGAAAAAAAAAACATTAAAAATTATAATAGATACAAATTAGTCGTATAAACATTACAAACATAATAGACAAAAATGATAAACAAGAATGATAAACAATACAAACCAAATTGATATAAACATTACAAAATAGGTCGACAAATATTACAAATCCAGCATTATCGTCTGTTGCCAGGAAATCCTCCTTCGTCATCGACGGTCGAAGGAAAACTCTCTCTCATTTCTAAATAAAAATTAAATAATAATATAATTACTACATTGACCTTCATTATATTGTATCAATTAGAGTCATTGAATTTTAATGAGTGTAAGACCAACTTCAATGGAAGTCCCCCCAAATTTGGGGATTGTCCTTATTTTCTTCATTTTGGTTCCAATGCTACCATTCTCAAATTTGGGGATCTTCCTTTTTTTTAGTTTTTGTTTACTTAAAAATGTACTTATTATCATCTTAATATAATTTGTTCATGTTGATTTTTGTATAGTTCGTCATCATTTTCAAATACGAATTTTCCGATAGATTTTTATTTTATTTTGAGACCGAATTTTTAAATAAAAATTATAAATTATCTGAAATAAACCCCTACTTAAGATCATAATTAATTATCTTAAAAAATCACCTAATTAATTACCAAGAATAAATAAACTCATTAAACTCCTAATTAATGGCCCCCGCCACCAGATTTCCGCATCCTCATTTTTGTGGGAATCAGCATTCCCTTCCACATAATTGGCGACCCAAATGGCAATTATCGTTATTAATGGTAAACATACCATAAATTTCGACCGTATTGAAGTCAGTCTAAAAGCTAAGATTCACTTAGTCATATAACTAAGGACCCACTAGTCACCTGTTGCACAGTATTGAGCGGGCTTTTATATTTGGCTAATGACTAGTCCTCATTCCTCAATCACTTCCTACCAATATAGTTTGAAATTTCTATATAATTACAATTGGGTGCAAAGTGTCACAACTCCTCCCTCCTTCAGAACCGACTTGTCCTCAAGTCTGGAATTGAGGAAAACGAGCCTTGAACTCATCCGAGTACTCTCATGCAGCTTTCTCTTTCTTCCTGGTGTGTAAAAATTATGCGGAAGTATGAACGAGACTTTGATTTACGTGGTTCTTCCTCACGTTGTGTGAGGCTTACATCCACGGGGAACACTGTCTGATCTTATTGATTGATTGATCGGCTTGATACCCCAAGCCTTCTCTTATACCCTATATTACAATCATCATCGTCTAGGGTTACATATTTGGAGTGCAGGACATAATGAGCAGCCGATCCGGACGTGGGCTCTGTGAGTGCATGGGCTGCATGTCCCTCTCGTGGGCTGTCTACGTCAGTCAACAACTCTCGGCCCAATACTCCCCCGCAAGCTGGAGCGTGCAGGTCACGAACGTTCAGCTTGGAGAGAAGAAATCTGAAACGATCCGCACCTAGTCCCTTGGTGAACAAGTCGGCGAGCTGAAGTTCAGAGCTGACTTTAATAGGGAGAATGTGGCCAGCTTGAACACGTTCTCGGACAAAGTACCAATCCATCTCGACGTGCTTTGTGCGCTCGTGGAATACTGGATTGTTAGATATATGAAGTGCAGCTTGATTATCACAATGAAGAGGAGTCGGTCGAACCTGGGGGACTCCCAGCTCACTAAGGAGCCATCGAAGCCAGGTGAGCTCGCTTACTGTGCTAGCCA